CGAGTTTATTGAGTTTCGGGTATTCGAGATATGATCAATTCAGGCCCCACCAAGGCTCAAGTGAGACTTTGACTTGGAAAACTTCTTTCTCTTTCGGCGGCCGTCCAGCTCAGGGCCCCCTTTGAACCCCTGCGCTTTGGCATCCTTCAGAGAGTAATGTTTTCCACCCGTCGGGCTCAGAAACACTTTGTATAGATTACCTTTTAGCTTACCGCTCATCCTTTTTCTCCATTCAATCTTCCAACCATCCTGCCCATCAATGGTCCGAAAGATCTCGAACTTCCTTAGATCTATAAATGAATGCGAACTGCCCACAACAAAACCCTTGGCCAACACGTAAAAAAATGTTCCAAATTGTTCTATAAATCAGATCGAGGATCAGCCGTTCCTCTCTTCCCTTTTTGCTATTGAGAAGGGCTAACTGATCTTCAGGACATGGAACCACACACTTGGCCTTCTCCAAGGCAAGCTGTTGAACCCGGTTCATGACTAACCGATACGACGACAGGGCGAAGTCCTTGGCATCAGCCCTCTTCACAAGAGTCTTCAAGTCTTCAGGCTTTGCCGCCTCCTAGGGGAGCAGGTGAACCGGCTGAAGTGTTAATATATATAGGTTTTGTTCTGTGTGCGATAACACCACCAAGGTGCTGGGCTCTTGGAATTAACAACTGAAACATACCGATCACTGGCCCAGGAGGTTGCGCCTCTGCAGCTGCATCTTCTTCTTCTTTGTCTTCTGGTGGTGGGCTTCCTCAGTGAACGGGTGGCGCCAGAGTGATGGAAAGGTGAGATCGATTGGCCGGAGTCTATATAATATATATAGCTTTCATCCTTGACTGATTGCTATGGCTGTGGGTTTAAGCTGGGATGCATGGTTGAACGCCGAGAATGAACAGCGTCGAATAAGTTTAAGACTTGATCAACTTATAAGACCGGGTTTGACGAACAGCCAATTACCTGATACAGGCGATTCAGGTGGTCATAAAACAAGCCAGGCTGCGGCCACTCTTTTGTCGACGCCGGTGTGTTGGAATAGGTCGCTCTTTGGGATCTTTCTTGGCATCTTTAGCCTCTCTGCTCTCATCAGCTTCCTCCTCACCTTCCACTGCCTGTTCAGGCAAAGAGTTTTTTTTCTCCAAGAGCTGATCCATCTTAAGCTGCTTCAAACGAGCTAGAGCAGCTCTACGTGCTTCAAGGCTTGACAAATTCTCTGGAACAGGAAACCTGGATCCCCGGGTCATCCACCGCCTAATACAAGATTTTGGAAACTCTTCCCGGATCTTAAAGCAGGCCTTTGGCGCCGGATCATCCTTTTTCTCTGCACTGTTAGAACTTGAAGTTGAAGTTGTGGTGGTTGATGAGCTAGTCGAACTGCCCACTGCAGGCGTGGAGCTGATGGAAATGTCACTCGAAGCATCACTCTCCTCAGCTTTTGTCAAGTCCACAGCCTTCACCTTTGCTTTTGCTTTTGCCTTTTGTTTTGCTTTTGGTACAGGCTTGACACCCTCGTACACATCTTTGACTTTCTCCAGAGTCATCCCCTTTGTCGAGAAGCCAACTGAGGCTGCGGATGGCATTTGGTGGAAGGGGTCCCCACCTGTGCTTTTCTCATCTTCACTGCTAGCAGTATTTTCGTCATTTTCTTTTTCCTTCATCAGCTCTTCCTTTGTCTCCTCATCTTCACTGCTCGTGTCTTTGTTTTTCTTGTCCGGTTCCTTCATCTCCTCCTCCTTTGTCTCCTCATCTTCACTGCTCGTACCTTTGTTGTTGTCGTCTGGTTCCTTCATCTCCTCATCCTTTGTCTCCTCATCTTCACTGC